GGTCCTTCAGCGCTTCGGCTTCACGTACTCCTCGCCTCAGGCCACTCCTCTGCCTACTCGCCACTCGCTCTCAGCTCTACCTTCGGATGAGTCCGTAGAGTCGAGTGGCCCGTATCCAGAGCTTGTCGGCTGCCTCATGTACCTGATGACCTGCACACGACCTGACCTTGCATACCCTCTTAGCATTCTTGCACGCTATGTTGCTCCTGGGAGACACCGACCAGAGCACATGGCTGCAGCGAAGAGGGTGTTGCGCTACTTGTGCAGTACGTCGGGCATGGGGCTAGTGCTTGGAGGGCGCAGTCAAGTGGTCCTCACTGGGCACGCAGACGCTTCTTGGGCTGACGACCAGGCTACGCAGCGGTCGTCACAGGGTTACACCTTCAGTCTTGGTTCCGGCTCTGTTTCGTGGCGGCTACCCGCTCGTCTTCTGTTCTCGGCTCCAGTTGTGAGGTTGAGATCTACGCCGGGGCCATGGCTGCCCAGGAGCTTCGCTGGCTCACCTACCTGCTTACCGACCTTGGAGAGCCGCCTCGTTCTCCTCCAGTCCTATACGTAGACAACAAGGCCATGCTGGCCTTGTGTCGAGAGCAGCGACTGGAGCACAGGACAAAGCACATTGCTCTCCGCTACTTTCTTGCACGTGAGCTGCAGCAGCGTGGACAGTTGCGGCTTGCGTACGTGGCCTCTGAGGCCAACACTGCTGATGTCTTCACCAAGGCACTTGCGCCTTGTGATCATCAGCGCTTCTGCACTCAGCTGGGTCTTGTGCCTGTCTTGCATCACTTGCTCTCTTCTTGACCTTGCTTGTACTCTCACATATATCTATACCTGCTCTTGCTTGTCTAGCTTTATATATATGTGTGTACTCTTGCTTGTGAACTGGCCTTGTGGCCTTGACTCTGTGCTCGGACTGTGTGGTGACTTTGTGATCCACCCTGAGCTTGCTTTGCTTTGCTTTGCTTGACTGGTCTTGTGACCCCTTGTTCTCCCCCACTTTGCCTATGGGGGTGTGTCAGAACATTATATAGCTTATACATTTGTGTAGGCTATAGTGGGGTATCCCATAGGGGGTACAACCCAATTAGGGTTAGTACTTGTACTCACTCATTTCATAGTTCATTCATTCTCTCGTTCAATTCTTCTCAGTGCTGACTAAAGTGCGTGCGCTCAGTAATCGGCAGATGGTTGCGAATAGCGAGGCGCGCAGCAGCATCACGAGTTTGCCACTGTGAGCGGTAAAGAGCGGCAGCAGTGTCAGCAGGAGCAACGGCAGTGCCAGTCACATAATCGAACAGTGAAAGTCCATCTTTAGCATCACTCAGAAGAAACATTTGCAGGTCGTCGAGCTGCAAACTCTATCGGGCGACCGTCAGGATCGAAAACGAGGACATTGAGAGTCGCCATGAGTGCGGTGCACGGGCTGCCGAAAGCGAAGCGCAAGTAGGCAGAAAGCGGCGCACGGGTAGGCAGAGTGCGGTGCACGGGCTGTAGAAAGCGACGTGTGGGTAGGCAGAAAGTGGCGCACGGGTAGGCAGAAATCGGTGCACGGGCTGCAGAAAGCGACGCGCGGGTAGGCAGAAAGCGCCGCACGGGTAGGCAGAGTGCGGTGCACGGGCTGCAGAAAGCGGCGCGCGGGTAGGCGGAAACAGGTCGCGCGGGGGCAGCGGGCTGCGTGGGCGGCGGACGCGGCGCGCGGGGCAGCAGCGGGCTGCGCTGGCGGCAGACGCGGCGCGCGAGGCAGCAGCAGGCTGCACCGACGGCGGACGCGGCGTGCGGGGCAGCAGCGAGCTGCACGGGCAGCGGACGAGGCGGCACGCTCAGGACGAGGGCAAGGCAGAGGCGCGTGCGGGCAACGCAGCGCAGGCAAGGTAGGGCGCGCGCGGGCAGCGCAGCGCAGGCACGACGTGGGGCAGCGCAGTAACCGCAACGGTAGGTGGGCCCTAAAAAATCGGTCCTACGGACCTACTGCTCTGAATACCATGTCAAAATGCTAGGCAGGAATGGAAACAGGAAAGAGAATTTGGTACAAATATGAAACCCAAAAGGGGCTGTACCCCATACTGGCTACCCCACTACAGCCTAAACATACATAGCATATATATAATTTGACAAGAGAGTGTGTGTGTATGTGTATGTGTGTGTATCGGATAGAGAGTGTGAGAGAGAGAGAGGAGGGTCAGCGGGTGAGGCCGCCAAAACTTTCTCGCCACCCCCTTTACCCTCCCTACCCCCCACCCACTCACACCCCCACAGTGGCAGGCGACGCAGGGAGAGAGAGGTGGAGGTGGGTGACGATGCAGTGGCGCGACGTCGGTGGCGGTGCATCTATCTGGTCCCCTACTCTCGGCCACCACCCCCACAACCCCCCCACCACAGCAGAAGTCGCGGCAGGGGCAGAGAGGGTGGTGTCTTTGCGTTGGTGGATGGCACGCGTTGTTGCTACTGCTGCTCACGCTAGCGTGTGGCGCGCACTGCTGCTGCCGATAGCGCGTTGGCATGCGGCGCGCGCTGCTACTGCTAGTCGCGCGCTAGCCTACTACGTGCGCTGCTGTTTTTTGCGCTGCTAACGTGCTGACACAAGGTGGGCAGCGAAGCCTAAGGTGGGGCGCGGCATGACGTGCAAGGGGGTGTGACATAAGGGGACGAACGGAGCTAGCGGGGTGCACAATGGGGCGACGAGTGGGGCGCACAATGAGGCGATGTGTGGTGTGCGCAACGAGCCGACGAGTGGGGCGAATTACGGGCTGCGCGACGAGCGAAAACTGCACGGCACGCAGCAGCATGACGGATTGCTTGACGAGACACACCATATTGGAGGCTAATGGTGGGCCCCTACAAGAAAACTGGTCCTAAGGTCGGGACCAGCTCAGATACCACGTTAAGGTAGCCTCTTAGGCATAAGACTTAGGAATTACGAGGCTTTAGGCAAGCTGCATTTGAGATGAATAGGAAAAACAGAAGAGGGTCCACTAAAAGTCCAAGAAACTGAGTTATGCGAGAAACAAGGCAATGTGCGTCGCACAACCAAATTGGAAATACAACTACAATAGGCTCTACCGTAGGCAGTTACATAACTGTATACGCATACATTTTAAAATTATGGCGCGCCCTCGAGGCAGTGCACGCTATGTTATATTACGTTTTTGTTGTGAAAAAAAAGAAGTGCAATACAGCCGAACTGTAAGAATCCCAATCACTGAACGACTGAGGTAAAAGGGCTTGTTAAGGGCGTATTCCTACGGCCTCCTATCAAGCCACCTCCTATCAAGTTTTGTACTTTTTGCCTGTGAAAAGTAGCGAGAGGTTTAGGGTTTATGGGATTTTTCAGTGTGAGCTTGATAGGAGGTCAGATTGATAGGAGAATAGGAATACGCCATAAGTAGCGGGTCCGTGCACCCATAACCCCCCGGGCGAATTCGCATGTAACCCTTCCCTAAAATCAATCGGGGATCCTCAGTAAAGTGCTACTAACACGAGCTTACATATGTAGAGGCTTTAAGGTCATATCTAAATTATGATATGTATACATAGATTCCCAGGAACATATATAATGAGCACGTGATTGTCAAAAGACGTGGGTATGAGTGTTTGCCATTTGACTATCCAGATAGGTATGCCCTTAACATAAGAGATTAGCAGTCTTAGACAAATCAGATATATAATTATTGTTGTTGCTTGACGAAAAGCGAGCTGTTCTATATCGATATTGCTTGTGCACGTAAATATCGTCATGAAGAGACCAATCACAATGTGCGCCCCATTGCCGCTAGTTCTGGTTGGTCGATCTTCAACTCTCGTGACTCATCTCTGCCGCCACCATTGGCGCACCTCATGAGCGATGTGCTAGGTGAGCTGGAGCAGCTTTTAGGATGATGTGGTCTGAGCCATACATTTTGCGCATCCAGCAAACCATTTCAAAGGATGACGCAACGTTGGCGGGACGCGCACGTGCCCATCGCGACGGTGCTTTGCTCTTTTGCCTCTCGATCACTGACGATCATTGGTCAGGGCAGGCCAGAAGCGAGGAAGAAAAGATTATGAGGGGGAGAGAGCGAATGGAAAGTGGTCATTTGGTTTGGAAAAGAACCCCCACCACGCTCCGCACACGGATTTGCCAGCAAGACGAAGTTGCAACCAATCAACGTCGAGCCGAGGCTCCTGACTCCTCGCTTGGTGGTTCTTCGTGGTGGATAACGCGGGCAGGGAAATCTGATTTTCATTGGGTCACGAAACTCTAACGAAGCAGTCAGCCTCGGCAGCGAAATTCTGCGGCTTCGCGAGCAAATGATATACTACCCCAACTACTGCCATGCCGAAGGGCGCCACTAACCGAATCATCGCACAAGCGCCTCAGCTCCGCGCTCAACACTCTCCACACTCGAAGCGCTCCGCGTTCACCGACGCACCACACTCACTCCGCTCCGCGCATATACTGCTCCGCCCTCCCTCCGCTTTGCGCTCACCCCTGAATAATCACCCACCCCCCCGCTCACTCCATCACCAAGCAAGATGCCACAGGTCAGTCAGAGCTTCTAGAATTATCACTCCTAGAACGCGAGCTGCCACTATTTCTTTCATCCTAAACGGCACCTCGTTCTCCGACGTTACCGTTCTCCGGCTAGTAAGTCACGAATCTGCACGCGTTCATAGTTAGTACCCTTACAGGATCGTGTGATAATTACGAGCTAGACAAGTTTCGAAACGCGTGGCTCTACGTGCCCACCTTTTCAACCTTCGAACTCACGAAGTTATGACAGCCGCACTTCCGTCATGGGCGGGAGTGCTTCAATCCAACGCGTCGGCCCCGACAGGTCTGCTCTGCGCAAAAAGTCCTAGCAAGCTCAGCAGCCCGAGCGATTCGACAAACCTTGGGAGACAGAATAGCGGACGACCTCAGAACGGAAATTCGTCTCCGCGACACCCGCCGTCTCTCGCGCCCATCTTAACCCGCCGCGCAAACACTCCGCACAAACCTGAGTGTCGTCTTAAGCCGCCCTATGGCCGCCGAACCGCGTCAAAGACAACCGTGGTGCCGCGGCGCCGCACCGGGCCGGTGTCCTTCCCCTCCCCTCCCAATCACCGGCGAGTGTCGGCCGCGTCGCAATCTTCAGCCCCCCACCGGTCGACTGCGGGAGGCGCTGCGCTTCGCGCCGTGACTCATGCCGCACCTTCCGGCGCCAATCACCGCTCCCTGCTGCAGGAAAGCGCGTTCAGCGCCGAAGCGCTCGCTTTTAATCTCGCCCTCCGAAGCTTACCATCAGAAGCCTGCGTATCGTCGTCCTCCTCGTCCTCGTTATCAGCTTCCCCGCTACAATCCTCTTCGTTTAAAACACCAAGGACAGCGAATGAGTTTAACGGCTCTACCCATCATCATCATCATCATCGCGACTACAGAAATGGGGTGGCGGCGGCGGCTGCAGCAGGAACCGGGCCGGTGCCAACTCTGCGGTCGCCGCCGGCGGCAGCGGCGGTGGCGACGACGGCGGCCGTGACGTCGCCGGCAGACGAGGAGCGTGATAACGATGCCGACTCGAGTCGCGACTCGGGGACTGCGTGGGAAGGCGTTAAGTTGCTGCCGTTTGCCGCATCTGTCGGCGTGGGCCTCGCGACGTGGGCTTTAATTCCAGGTACACATTCTAATTGCAGGTGGGGTTTAATTCCAGGTATGCTCCTCGCCCCCCTCCCCTTCCCCTTCTCCCCCTTTCCCCCCGTCCTCCTTCCGCTTGAATTCGCGTGCCGCAGTGCCAGAGGGGTTGGCGGACTCGACGTGGCAGCTGCAGGGTCGACTTGGCATGCCAGACCTTCCTCCCCGTTATCACCCCCTTTCCCCCTCCCTACATCCCCTCCCTTTCTCCTCTCCCTTCCACCCTCCCTTCCCCCCTCCCTTCCCCCCTCCTCTTCCACCCTCCCCTCCCCCTTCCCCTTCTCCCCTCCCCTTACCCCTCCCCTTCTCCCCTCTCCGCGCGCCGCAGTGCCCGAGGGGCTAACGGACCAGGCGTGGCAGCTGCTGGCGGTGTTCCTCACCACTATAACGGGACTGATCCTCGGGTGAGTCAACAACGGAGCGGCTTATAACGGCTTATCTCCTCCCAACCCCCGCGCCCCTTCCCGCTGTCCACCCTTCCCCTCCACCCATCCCCTTTCCCCATCTCTTCCCGCTCCGGTACCCTCCTTTCCTCGCCGTTTCGTCCTATACTCGTCATCTCCGGTACCCACCTTCGCGTTCCCCTTCCCCCTGCCCACCCCGCCTTCCGCGCGCTGCTCCCGTGACCTTGCCCTCCCCTTTCATACCCAGTCTCCCCCTTCCTTTCATACCCAGTCTCCCCCTTCCTTTCATACCCAGTCTCCCCCTTCCTTTCATACCCAGTCTTGCCCTCCCCTTTCATACCCAGTCTTCCGCTTCCGATCGTATAACAACCTGTATGGATTTGAACCTCTTTTTTGTGTCGCGTTCCTTTGATTAAGGCGCCTAAAAAAAAAAAAGGGATTCCACATGGTCTAATTCCTTCTCCTCCCCTTCCTCTCTGATTGCCGAGCAGGCCGCTTCCTGTGGGCGCGTGGGCCTTCACTTGCCTCTCCTTCGCTATAATCACAGGCACTCTCTCTTTCTCTGACGCCATTAGGTAAGGATGCGCAGAACGCCTCGTGATTATTTCTTAGTCGACTCGAATATCTCCTTTGCGGTACTCAACGGCACTCTCTCTTTCTCTGACGCCATTAGGTGAGCGAATGCACAGAGTTGACTTTTGAGTCGACTCAAAAGTCAACTCGCCGTTAGGTGAGCGAATGCACAGAGTTGACTTTTGAGTCGACTCAAAAGTCAACTCGCCGTTAGGTGAGCGAATGCACAGAGTTCGGACGACTCTCCTCGCACTCTTCTCGTCGTCGTTTCACATTTGCGTCAACCTCCCCCCCGTCGAGTGATTTTTGAGAATTCTCAAAAATCACTCGCAACAACCTCCCCCCCGTCTCCCATTCCCCCCTCTACTCCCCCCTCCCTCTCCCCCCGCCTCTCCCCCCGCCTCTCCCCGCGTCATGACAAACCAACCAGGTCATCTGGGCTGATCATCATCTCCTTCTTCCTCTGTTCTTTTCTCATGTACTCGTGTATCCTCTTTCCCCCTAATCCTTATCCTCTTCCCCCCTAATCCTTATCCCGTTTCCCCCTAATCCTTATCCCCTTTCCCCCTGCTCCTCCCCCTCCTCACCTGCTCTCGCACTCTTCCGCCGCTCCACCCCCCCTTCTCCCCTCTCTCAGTGCCATGACGAACGAGGTCATCTGGCTAATCGTCATCTCTTCTTCCCCCCACCTCCCCATCCCCCCCCCCAACCCCCACCGCACCCTCCTCCCCCCCTCCCCAGCGCCATGACAAACGAGGTCATCTGGTTAATCGTTATCTCATTCTTCTTCGCGCGCGGCTTCGTCACCACGGGCCTGGGTGACCGCATCGCCACGCTCTTTGTCAAGTGGTTCGGCAGCAGCACCTTGGGCCTCAGCTATGGGCTTGCAGGTACGGTTTGGAGCGGTATGATTTGGTTCCCAGGCGTGTGACAGACAATGTGCCTCTGCTGTTGTTTGTGACCACGGGGCTGGGCGACGGCATTGCCACGCTCTTGGGCCTCAGCTACAGCCTTGCAGGTACAGCGATTGTAGGTACGGTACAGTCAAGGCAGGTACGGTAGCGTCAGGTGCGGTGTTGTAGGTATGGCGTTGCAGATTCAGTGTACTCCCCTCAGGTCCCCTTGAGTCTGTGTGTGGTGGTCCTTTCCGTTCCCCTCTCTCCTACCTTTTAAACCATCCCCCAACCCTTTTTTCCCTATCCCTCCGCATCCGCTCTCCCCCTCCTCTCCCCTTCTACCCTTGCCAGCAAGCGAAGCCCTGTTGGCCCCAGCCATGCCCAGCACCACGGCGCGGGCCGGAGGCGTCTTCCTCCCCATCATCGACTCTCTCTCAAAGCGCTTTGACAGCCGCCCCAACGACCCCAGCAGCAAGAAGCTCGGCGCGTTTCTCATCATGACTCAACTGCAGACCTCAGCCCACAGCAGCGCCATGTTCCTCACTGGTAAGATATCCTTTTGGGGCGGGAATCCATTCTTTGAGTCGACTTTGGAAGCTTGATGCGTTCCTCATTATGACACAACTGCAGATCTCCGCCCACAGCAGTGCCATGTTCCTCACAGCATGTCACCTCGATGGTCATGTTCAAAATGCCTGCCCTGCCCCCCTATCATCTTGCTTTTTTTCCATTCCTCGCCCCCTCCTCTATCACCCTTCTTGCAGGAGCCGGGCAGAACCTGCTGTGCATGAAGCTCGCGCAGGAAATGGGTGTGGCGATCCCGAACGCCTTTGCCACGTGGATGGGGATGGCAGTGGTGCCTGGCATGCTGGGGTTGGTGGTCACCCCCATGCTCATGTTCAAGGTGTTTGCACCCGAGGTCAAAGAGACGCCAGAGGCGCCGGGGCTTGCTAAGAAGCGGCTTGAGGAGATGGGGTCGGTGAGCGGGAAGGAGATGATCATGATTGGCACCATGGGACTCGCGATTACCATGTGGATCATGGGGTGAGTACGATAGTGATGATGCATAGGTGTGGTATCTCTAACATCAGAAAAGGTGACTCAAATGGTTGGAGGTTGCGGGTGATGGGGCGGATCAGTGGGAAGGAGAGGATTATGTTTCGCACGGGGCTGCAACCGGGGGTATGCGTTGTTGTGTGGGCTTGGGCATTCTCTCTATATCCTTGCTCGCTATCCCTGTCTTCTCTCACTGCCCCCCTCCCCTTTTGAGGCGCCTCAAAATTTTTTACTTTTGAGGCGCCTCAAAATTTGACTTTTGAGGCGCCTCAAAAGTATGTGGGCTTGGGCATTCTCTCCATATCCTTGCTCGCTATCCCTGTCTTCTCTCACTGCCCCCCTCCCCTCTTCCTCACCCTTCCCCAATGCAGTGAATCGCTGGGCATTCCCAGTGTGGTAACTGCCATGTCAGCGCTCTCCCTCCTCCTCCTCTCAGGCGTCGTCTCGTGGTCCGATTGCCTCTCTGAGAAGTCAGCCTGGGACACCCTCATGTGGTTTGCTGCTCTCATCGCCATGTCCGCCCAGCTCACCCACATGGGGGTCGTTGGCTGGATGGCCGATGGGGTTGCAGGCGGGCTCGGGATGGTCCCTGGGGGGATTTTGGCAGGGGATATGGCCACAGGGGGGATGCTGGGGGAGGAGATGGGGGGAATGGCGGGGATGCTGGGGGGAGATTTGGGGGAGATGGTTGGGGCGGGGGTGGCGGCAGTGGGAGCGGGAGCGGGGGGAGCGGTAGCAGCAGTGGGAGCAGCGGGAGGGGCGGCGTTAGAGCCAATGACTAGTGCCGTAACCGCTACTGCCATCACCACTACTGCTGCCCTACCACCCCTAGACTCCCCAGCAGAGCTAACTTGGGTCTCCAGTTTCTTCCAGCTGCAAGTCCTATACTTCCTCGCGCATTACCTTTTTGCCAGCCAGACAGCCCATGTGGGGGCGCTCTATGCGGCTTTCCTTGCCATGCAGCTAGCGGCTGGTGTTCCCGGGGAGGTTGGTGCTTTTGCGCTGGCGCTAAATACGAATTTGTTTGGCGCGATAACGCATTATAGCAGCGGGCAGGCGGCGCTGTATTATGGAGGTGAGCGATAGTGGTTGTTTTGTAGTTGCCTGTGATTGATTGGTAGCAGATTGTTCTGTGTTTCTATGTTTTTTCCGCTCGCATGCACTGATATTTGTCGCTTTGTTGGTGGTTCTTGTTGCAGCTGGTTATGTTAGTCTCCCTGACCTGTTCAAGATTGGAGGTATTTCTGCCATTGTCAACCTGGTTCTTTGGACATCAGTATGTTCCATCATGTGGAAGCTCCAAGGAGTATTCTAGGCTTGACAAGGATTGGCTTTTTCGGTGGTGCTAAATTTGTCCGTTATGTTTATTTGGCTTGGATACTTTTTCCCTTAAGTTCCAGTGTAGCCCTAATTTTTAGTATTAAGTTGGTTCAATTGATTCAATACAACTTCAGCCGTTTCGAATAACTCCAAATTAGTACCGCCATCATCGCTTTGTGGTCTGCTAAGATATAAACCAATCACAATCGTTCAAATCAACACGTGTTCCTTTCCGTATGTGCTTTGGCTCGGCTTCACCTCCACCCATACCAGGGGCTTTCTAGTCTCACCCTGGTTTACGGCTTGTCGAACCAGTCTCCGCCCGAAGTGAGAACCCTCACCCACAACAACGACGTCGGGCGACATGTCAGAGATCGCCGTCACTTCATGTCGGTTGTCCAGCGACCGTCGAAACTAGTGGTGCGCACACCAGAGTGTCGCATGAAGGTCGCGTTCATCGCCCACCACACCCCTGCACGCTGTTGTCCCTAAATTAACCCAACCCCTCCCCTAAGGGCGTGTGAGGTCTTTGAAATTTGTAAAAGTTTATGTTTTTAGGGTGAATTTTAGTTTCGAACTTACAACGAAAGAAGTTAGAATTTCCTACTACCGAAGTTGGAACATCGGGCTTACCACACTGTAAAAAATCACACACACATACAAGGTCGAACCCCGACATTCGAACTTGTAAAAACGAGCCGAGCCGCACATCAACATCATAGGTTACCCGGTTCGAGAGTCTTGACAGTGCGCCACGTTAACATTCCGCGCCGAGTGTTTAACCGGGGTAAAAATAGCCCCCGTGGCAACTTGTATACTCGTCATTCTCCCAACATGACACGTTGCCACATCGTGCTCAAACATGCCACGATGCTGGACACGTGGCTACCACTGTGTGCACGAATTGTGGGGTGACTTCGTTGTGCAACTTCATGCATTGGCGAAGCGCTCGCCCGTTTCGCCAGCTGTTCGGACGTGCTGCAAATCACACACGCTCGTATGAACGTGCGCACGCACGTTCCCGCCTCCGACTCGAGTCAAGTTCATATTTCAAACTCGAACTTTTGCAGAGCCCATACAATGCTTGGTTCGCGAAGCACCCTTCGCGAAATTAGCGAAAAGGGTAACCACCCAAAGTTCGAACTTTATTTTGAACTTCTACAAAGACCTCACACGCCCTAAAATTTGCTATTCTCGCCGCTCTCCGCCAAATTCAAACCTACCACAAACCAGCTGACTGCGCCACACCCATACTGGTCTTGTGCATACTGTACCTACCCACACCTGAACCACACGCAAACGTTTCTAGCAATTCTCACCACCATTTTTTTCCGTACCCGAGCCATCCAAATCAAGCGGACCAAGGGTCCAGGCTGGATCCATGCCTGTAATTAATTTTCAGTCCATTCCCAACTTGAGGTCTCTACCGAACCAGAGCAACTTGTCCTGCAACTACCGAGGTACAAGCTGCCAAGCCCCTTAGGGTTACAGAAGGGTTTGACACGGTTGTTTACGCAATAATACGATACAGCGTGTTTCAGTGTGTTTTGTGTTGCAAGGTACAGCCGTGCCCACCCTCGGATTCCTCTGCACTATTGGTGCCTGCTCGATGTCTTCGAGGGGGCTGTTCGTATGGCTGGCAGCGATAGGAGAAGCACGTGACAATCCCAAGGGTCTGAAATGTAGGCGGGAGGGGAGTGAAAGCTCGAAACGAAACAAACACTTTTTGTGGTGAAGTGAAGGGGTTGTTGGTTCGGCTGGCATGTCACCGCTGGCGCCGCCTTGACCTTGAACAGGATTTGCGGAAGGCTCGTTACCTTGCATGTTTAAGAACCGGGCGATTGTGTGATCTTGGATTTGACGTGTCGCGTCGGCCTTGTTCCTGGAGGCAGATTCGTTCGTGTTTTACAACACTCGTCTGCTCCGTCTCTCGTCTTTTGCAGCCCTGTACATACGTCTCGGAAATAATGGCTTCAAACCGACTTAGGAATTTCCAGTCTACATAACGGATTCGCCATCCATGGTTGAGTGTTAAGTAACCCCCCAGAGTCCCGTCATAGAGTTCGTGTGCCTAGTAACTTGACTAACCCCCTGTGGATTGACCAACCCAGGATTCGCGCGGCAGCCTTGAAACGTGGATTCGAGACCTCTTGAAACGTGTGCAGACGTAGAATGAGATTTAGTTTGTAAGCCAAGGAATTCGAGGCGTGCATTCGGGAAAAGTCACTGCGGAGGAGGCGAGGAGTCGTGTTTCGAAGCGAGGGTCACGAGGAAAGCGGTTCAAGAGTGCATGAGAGGGATGGACGCGTGAGGGAATCGGCGTCGCACGAGGGAATCGTCGCACAGGAGACGAAGAGGCGGACACGCCGTGCTTCTCCCGCGTCGCCGTCATCTGCAACCGATTCTAGAATCTGAGGAGCTTCAGAGCCTCTGACTCAACGCCGTGTCCCTCCCGAAATAACTGTTGAGTCGACTCAAAAGCCACCGTGCCATCTGACTCGACGCCGTGCGTCTCAAACAGCGACTGCCGGTCGTTTTCGAATCTCTCTGGGACGGCGTCAGCTTCGTTACCGTTGCTTCCTACCTAGGCGCCGGGCAGGCGCCGTGCCGCCGCTGAGTAAGTAAGAAAGCTCGTCCTATGCTTTTGAGAGTCACAGTGTGAGCTTGTAGTCTCGGGGTAGAGGTCGCTCTCCTCTGTCCCTGCGCGCCGAACTCTTGTCGGTAAACTTGTTTCAAATCACTGTGCCTCTCTTCGCTCGGCGTGTCTCCCGTCGTCAGTCTGTCTTTTGCGCCGGTTGTTCCGCTTTCCGCTTATCTGCTTCCACCCTCCCCCCTACCCTCTTCCGCCCTGTTTCGCAGCATGGCATCTGCGGGGCTTCTCTCCCGCAGATGGCGCGGCCTTACCCAGCAAGGTTCCGCCAGCGCGCTTTCCTCCGCCAGCGCGGTTTCGTCCGCCAGCGACGCGGGGACCGCCGGAAGCACGTCCTTGCGCCGCCACGACTCGGGTTCGAGTCCTGACACCGACACTTCTTTCAGCTCACCTATAACGCACATGGGTTCGGGCCCTTTAACGGGGACAGTGGGAGGGAGGCGGCGCGGGGAGGTCGCGGGGAGAGGGACGTTGGGCACAGCTGGGGCTACGAGCGAATCTAGAAGCGAATCAAGGAGGAGCGAATCTGTAGCAAGATTCGCTTATGATGACGATAGTCTGTCTCCCGCGAGGCGGCGTCCCCCAGGATTAGGGCGGCGCGCTTTGTCGTTTGGCATGTCGCCTTGGCGGTTTGACTATAACGATGCCGCTACGAACGCAGCTTCTGGCGAAACTGCGCCTGTGAGAGGATCTAGCAGCGTACGGCAGAGGAGGCGGGGGTTTTCGCGCAGAGGAAGGGCGGGGGAACGGGCAGGCGGAGGCGCGGATTCGTCCCCCTTGACGCCCGCCGGCGCGCGGACGCGGGGTGCTGCGCGCCTGTGGGCCGGGCGGAACAGCAGCGCGTCCGCAGATGGAGAGTCTCCCAGGGGAGCCGGGGGGACCGCCGCCGTGGCTGCTGCTGCGGCGGCTGCGGCTGCCGCGGCGGCGGCTCTAGCAGCAGCGGAAGAGGCGTCAGGAGGAGGATTTGTGGACGTTCCCCTTGACGGATTCCGTCAGATGTCTGTCAGAGGCACAACGTAAGTCGTTTTCTCAAAAGGATTTGGAGCTGGGAGGGTTTTGAAGCTTTTTTTCTTATCCTGATGAATTTGTCCCCCCCTTTTCGCACTCTCGGTTTCAGTCGTGGCTCTCCAGCATCCCCACCGCATCTCACCGCATCAGACCGCAGATCATCTTCCAGAGGTATAGCGTATAGCAACTTTATGTCGTTATTCCATCCTATTCTGTTTCTGATGTTTTTATTTGAAATGTTTCATTTTGTGGAACGACCCTATGTCATTCGAATGATGCCATGTCATCCTTATAACGTCACACCATCCTAATGACTTCATGTCATCCTAATGATGCCATGTCATCCAAATGACGTCATCCCACCCACATCATCAAACAGTGCGCAGGTGGCTCTCCGCCTTGAACGTGATTGGTCGCGTGCGCCGCGACCGCCAGATCAACGATCGCCAGCTCAGCGCCACGTCATCCATGCCTGCGGCTCACCGCGTCCAGGCACCTTCCCCTCCTCTGGGGCAGGGGCAGCAGGGACAACAGGAGCAGGAGCCAAGGCAGGAACAGGAACAGGAACAGGAACAGGGGCGGGGGCAACAGGCGCAGGGGCAAGGGCAAGGGCAGGGGCAGGGGCAAGGGCAAGTTGCATATCGGAATTACATGGTCAGTGGGGGTCATAGTTTCAGCAGCGGATATAGCCCCAGCCGCGGATATAGCCCGAGCCGGTTCAGTCCGAGCCGGGGATTTAGTCCAAACCACAGGTTCGGTGGGAATTTTGGTGGTGGTGTGGGTGGGGGTTTAAGTGGCAGTGTGAACGGGAGTGAGTCTCCTAGTGCTCTGCAGGCACAGTCGAATCCCCACCAGCAGTATCAGCACTATCGGCAGCAGTACAACCACCAACTTCAGCAGCAGCAACAACAACAGCAGCTGAATCCGAATCAGAACCATCATCATTATCATCAAAACCAGAGTGAGCAGGAACAGCTGCAGCAGCAGCAGGCGGTGCTATTTCCTTTCCGCCAGCCCTTCAGGGAGCTACAAACGGGGGGAGGCGCTATCCCCGTGTTCCCATACCCTTCCCCACAACACCCTCTCCTCCAATCCCCCAACGGCCATCCCTCCACCCCTAACGCCCTCCATCCTTCCAGTTCTCCTGTGCTTCAATCCGCCAATATTCTTCATCCCACCAACTCCCCTCTGCACCAAGCCATGTCCAATCGGACCTCCCCCTCCTCCTCCCCTTCCCCCAACTCCCCCCGCCTCCACCCCTCCTCTCAACCGCACCTAACCTACTCCAACTCCTTGCCGTTCCGGACGCTTCAGAATCTCCCTGTGCTGCCGCCTCTGCCGGATCAGGACGATGGGGACGATGGGCCGCCGCCCGCTGTTGCCACCCGGCCGGCCACTGCTCACTCCAGTCCAAGCCCTGCTGCCCCGGCCCGTGCTACAGTGGCTGCTACAGTGACGGATTCCCCGTTGGTGCTGTTTCGGGACAGGGAGAGGAGCCGGGAGAGGGAGGAGAGGGAGGGAGGAGGGGAGAGGGAGAGGGGGAGGGAGAGGGAGAGGGATGGGGAGAGGGAGATGGGTGGAGAACGGGAGAGGGAGCGGGAAAGGGACAGAGAGAGGGAGCGGGAGAGGGAGCGGGAGCGGGAAAGGGAGAGGGAGAGGGAGAGAGGTGGGGGTTTATCGTCGGCTCGTCTTCCCAGGTGGCTGCGGTCGCGCCGGGCAACAAGGAACGGTGAGGCTCTCCTTTTTATTCCTGCCCCCCCCTCCTCCCCATCCCCTCCTCCCCATCCCCTCCTCCTCCCCATCCCCTCCTCCTCCCCATCCCCTCCTCCTCCCCATCCCCTCCTCCTCCCCATCCCCTCCTCCTCCCCATCCCCTCCTCCTCCCCATCCCCTCCTCCTCCCCATCCCCTCCTCCTTCCCGTCGCTTTCTCCCCCTTCCCCCTTTCCTCCCCCTCATTTTGAACCAGATTTGAATATCGTCCATTCTCTTTGAGAGGCCCGCCCTCTCCCCCCCCGTCCCATCCCCCAGCCCCATCAGCGAAGCGCCGGACGATTTCTTTTGGCAGGGGGGAGATGAGCGAGGAGGACTCGGGAGTGATTGAGGCAGCCATGCATAATTTCTCCCCCTCCCCTTTCCCATCCCCTCCCAATCCCCGCCCCCTCTCATCCCATCCCCCAGCCCCCTCGTCTGAGGCGCCAGATGATTTCTGGTGGCAGGGGGAGATGAGCGAGGAGGACTCGGGGGTGATTGAGGCAGCCATGCAGGCCATTCTCATGGACGGACTGGCTGGCGCGCTGCAGGGAGGGGGAGGGGGAGGGCTGGGAGGGGGGCTGCACGGAGCGGGAGGGAGGAGGTTGATGGTGCCGCAGATGCTGCTGTTTGAGGATGAGGAGGCGTGGACGTACGAGCAGCTGTTAGAGCTGGATCGGAATAACGTCAGACGGTAAGGCAGGGCAGTGCATGCTGGTGCTGATTGTGGGTCAAGAGGAGGGTGATGGTGAGTAGGTCAGGGAGCGAGGAGGGTGATGGTGAGTAGGTCAGGGAGCGAGGAGGGTGATGGTGAGTAGGTCAGGGAGCGAGGAGGGTGATGGTGCCGCAGATGCTGCTGTTTGATGAGGAGGCGTGGACGTATGAGCAGCTGCTGGAGTTGGATCGGAATAACGTCAGGCGGTGTGTGGTTGGGTGTGACTAGTCGTTTAATAGGGGAGGGAATGTGCAGTGCAGTGAGGCAGATGCTTCTGTTTGAGGATGAGGAGGTGTGGACGTATGAGCAGCTGTTAGAGCTGGATCGGAATAACGTCAGGCGGTGAGTGGTTGGGTGTGGTCGGGTGTGGTTGGGTGACTAGTCATTTACTGGGGCAGGGAATGTGCAGTGCAGTGAGGGGATGTTGGTGTTTGAGGACAAGGAGGCGTGGACGTATGAGCAGCTGTTAGAGCTGGATCGGAATATCCCAGCGGAAATGGGTCGTCAAGCCTGACGACCCTCTGACGACTTGACGACATGCTGCCCCGGGCAGAAAAAAACTAAAACCCTCTCGGATGGCATGCCATCCGAGGGAGGCATCAACCCTAAATCCATGCTTCCCTGTGTTTAGGGTTGATGCCTCCCTGACCGGATGCATGCCCCAATGGGTTTTATTTTTTTTGCCCGCAGGCAGCGAGCTCCCCCGGGCGGACTCGCTTGTCCGCTAAGATATATCATCCGGAATAATGTCATTTGACAATTCTAAAAAACATACGGTGACACATGTGGTTGGCTCTGACCATACGGTGACACATGTGGTTGGCTCTGACCATACGGTGACACATGTGGTTGGCTCTGACCATACGGTGACACATGTGGTTGGCTCTGACCATACGGTGACACATGTGGTTGGCTCTGACCATACGGTGACACATGTGGTTGGCTCTGACCATACGGTGACACATGTGGTTGGCTCTGACCATACGGTGACACATGTGGTTGGCTCTGACCATACGGTGACACATGTGGTTGGCTCTGACCATACGGTGACACATGTGGTTGGCTCTGACCATACGGTGACACATGTGGTTGGCTCTGACCATACGGTGACACATGTGGTTGGCTCTGACCATACGGTGACACATGTGGTTGGCTCTGACCATACGGTGACACATGTGGTTGGCTCTGACCATACGGTGACACATGTGGTTGGCTCTGACCATACGGTGACACATGTGGTTGGCTCTGACCATACGGTGACACATGTGGTTGGCTCTGACCATACGGTGACACATGTGGTTGGCTCTGACCATACGGTGACACATGTGGTTGGCTCTGACCATACGGTGACACATGTGGTTGGCTCTGACCATACGGTGACACATGTGGTTGGCTCTGACCCCATGTTTTGGGTGGAACCGGGTGTTCGTTGAATGGAGGGAAGCATGGACGTATGAGGCTTACTTACACTCCCTTATTTTCCGATTCCACGACGCCCCCCCTTCCTCCCGCCACATCCGCTCCTCTCCTTCTTCCCCCCCCTCCCCACAGCGGGCTGAAGCAGCAGGAGATGTGGAAGCTGGACCGGCGCAAGGTGAAGGCATGAGGACAAGAGGGCTTCTCTGTTGCTCCTCTAACCCCCATCTATCCAAACCGTCACCCTGCCTCTCTTCCTCGTTCGCCATAGCGGGCTGACGCAGCAGGGGATGCAGGAGCTGGACCAGCGCAAGGTGAAGGCATGAGGACGAGATGGCTTGATCCTTGCTCTACTGCCCTCATTGGCCCCCTTCTCTTCCCCTGTTATTATTCTGCCTGTCTCTCGTGCAGCGGATTGAAGCAGCAGGAGATGTGGAAGCTAGATTGGCACAAGGTGGCCCATGGGGACGAGAGGGCTGAATCATTGCTCTTCTAACCCCATCGTCCCCGTTCTCTCCCCCTGTTATGATCTTGTTTAATGTTTCCCCCACAGAGGGCTGAAGCAGCAGGAGATGTGGAAGCTAGATCGGCGCAAGATGGCACATGGGGACGAGAGGGTGGATTGCCAGATCTGCCTGTCTGAGGCCGTGGCAGGCGAGCTTCTCACCTCCCTGCCTTGCAAGCACACATACCAGTGAGTATCACTGTGTTATCGGTGCTGTTCGCTGCTGTTCGGCGGGGGGAAGTGGGCGGTGAGCATGGGATGAGAGGGTGGGTTGTCAGATCTGCCTCTCAGGGGCCGTGGCAGGGGAGCTACTCACCTCGTCACTGCAAGTAAGCTCTCGTGTTGTAGCATTCTTTTGAATAAAAACCTGTCTGCTACCACAGCAGCAAGGGGTTTGAGCCAACACTGTGCATATTAAAAATGTAATTGTATGTGTATATATACGTATACGTATACATATACGTATGTATGTGTATATATTCTGCCTTGGTTCCCACTCTCCTACTGCGACAAGTCACCCGTTTTTTCCTCCCTCCTACCCTACATTCCAGCTCTTCCCCCCGGTTTGTGTCACCCTCCATACAACGACGCCTGCGTCTCCCCCTGGTTCAAGACCCACCGCACGTGTCGCATCTTGAGAAGGCTCAGAGATCCCGCTCGTCCTTATATCACCCCCGTTTATGTCACACCCCACCCTCCATACAGTGACGCCTGCATCTCCTTGTGGTTCAAGACCCACCGCACGTGCCGCATCTTGAGATAGACGTCTTACAAATCCCACCCTTTCCCCGTGTCCCCCCTTTTGTGTCACACCGTCCACACAGAGATGCCTGCATCTCCCCCTGGTTCAAAGCCCACCGAACGTGTCGCATCTTTGCGACGACTCACAAATCCCGCTCTTCCTTATAACCCCCCCTCCTCCCCCCCCTCCTCCCCCCCTCCACACAGTGACGCCTGCATCTCCTCCTGGTTCAAGACCCACCGCACGTGCCCCATCTGCCGCTTCGAGATTGCTGACTGAACTGCAAAACTCTTCAGCACATACTTTCTCTCTCTGCTTCAGCCGAAACCTGCCTGTTGTAAAGGCGCACCGCACGTGCCGTGCCCCATCTGCCGCTTGGAGATTGCCGACCAGCTCCAATACCTTGTTCAGAACGCGTGCACTTGCGGTGCACTGTTGTCTGCTTTAGGATTGTTGGAATCTCCTGTTAAAAGTGTAGTGCGACCGGATTTGTTTGTCTCCCTTGCGTGTAAACGCACTCTTGTCGGCATTTGTGTAGGCTCTTTAGGGAGGGGTTGTTGTTGCTCTAGATGTTCCAGTAAGGCCCTGGTGCTATGCTTGCTTGTGTAGGACAACTGTCCTGTTCTGTTCTTCCATAAACAGGAACATGTACTAGTTGACTTCAATGTAGAACATTTTTTTCATGTACGGTAATAAAAAGCATGTTGCCTAATCACGCACTTCCTTTGTGGCGATCAGATTGTATGGTAAATGAGAAAGCAAGGTTGCCTGCCTGCCCTGAGAATTACACAACAAGGAGAGAAACAGTACTATAATAATGGCATGCAATGCCTAAGCCCCTCACCCCACTCGGTAGAATAGAGATGGCAAGCGTATATCTGGACGAAAATGGGATCGAGAGAAATGACTGTTGTCATCTAGAAGAAAGGTACAGGACAGGATTATTTGTTACAAGCAAACTCGCTACAAGTCCGAACAGTCTGTGCTAACTTCATTCGCAACCACCTTCAAGCCAGCCACAGCTACGTTACGCGAATAACATCCCACACTTTTATCATTACTCGCGAAAGCAAAATGCTGCTCGACCAATTGCGAAGCTCGCTTCCGCTCCTCCTGCTGTCCCTCCTGCCCCCACTCCCCACCCCCACTCCCACTCCCACCCCCACTCCCACCCCCACCCCCACTCCCACCCCCACTCGCACCGCCACCCCCACCCCCACCCCCACCCCCCCCACTTCCAGAGATCCTGGTTTCATTACGACAAGCGCCATCTCGTGTCACATTACAGCTGGTAACATTTGTAACCCCTCCCGTAACATTCGTAACCGCTCCCGTTGTACCGGTTCCCGTAACATTCGTACCACCTGGTGCAAGATTGGACCTGGTGTCGCGACCAGCCCTCGTGTCATTTGTGTTATTGAACGAGCCCTCGCCAACCCTGGTAGGGTTAAAGCCTGTGCTGCTGCTGCTGTTGCTGCTGCCATCAACATCACCAGCACCACCACTGCAGGACGAGCAGTACTCGATATAAGATCCAAACCGTTGGTTCAAAAGGGTCTCGGAGATCGGACGGCCGACCTTCCTCCCTGACTTGTCCCTCTGTAGGTTGAATGCATAGTCTGTGTCTAGCTTGAAAGAGCCGTTAGCTGGTGGTGGATGAGGGGAGGAAGGGAGGGGAGGCAGGAGGGACGAGAGGAGGGAATAGAGGGGAGAGAATAATAGAGGGAAGGATGGAGCAGTGTGAGTGACTGCATAGTCTGTGTCTAGCTTGACTGGCCCATTGGCTGGTGGAGGGCAAGGGGAGGGGCGCAGAGGAGAGGTGGGAAGAGAGGAGGGAAGAGAGGAGGGAAGAGAGGAGGGAAGTGAGAGGAGGATGTGAGTGAATGCATAATCAGTGTCCCTGGAAGAGACGAGGGAAGCAAAGAGGGAAACTAAACGGGAGGCAAAGAGGGAAGTGGATGTGGGTCAATGCTGCCGGAATGAATCATGAGTCTTTGTGAAGCATGAATCACCTGTTGGCAGGGGCCAGAGAGGTAAGTGACGTCAGGAGGGGAGAGAGTAGGGAAGACCAAAACTAGAACGTACCATCTAGAGAAGTCATTTTGAGGTTGACAGGAAACAAGTACTGCACAGTGACTCACTGAAATCAGCTCATTCCAACTTGCAGACTTAGAACAGCATCGTTTTGAAACGAGAACGCACCATCAAGAGAAGTCATTTTGAGGTTGACAGGGAACAGGTACTGTTCAGTGACTGACATCAGCTCATTCCCCTTTGCATCCTTTCCCGTGATACCAAAACAGCCCTTGAGACATCTCATTGCTAGAACGTACCATCCAAAGAAGTCATTTTGAGGTTGACAGGGAACAAGTACTGCTCAGTGACTGATATCAGCTCATTCCCCTTGGCATCCTTGCTCGTAACCTCAACTGAAGCTCGCGTTACATGAGACCATGCCACCAGCCCTTCACTCCGGAAATACACAGATGCTTCTGCTCCCAGGTTTCCCGTAACTTCGGTGGTAACCGCACCGGACGAGGAGTAAACAGTGCCGGTGATTGTATAGGAGCGGAGCGTGCTTGTAGTGAATCCGGTGCTTGTGGCAGCAGCATCTAGAGGTGTAGAGCCGTCAGCAGTGCTGGTGCTACTGCTACTGTTGCTGTTGTTGTTGCTGCTGCTGCCGAAGCTGTTGTTGGCCGACGCATTCGAGGGATCATAAGCAGAAGGCACGATGAAAGTGTTTGTGATGGAAGGAACTGGAGCCTGGGGCAAGGAAGAGCAGGGAGGATAGGCAGGCAGGGCGAAACAGGGAATGCAGGGGAGGCAACTTATAAGGCGCTTCAAAAAGAATTCGAGGGGTCAGAAGTGGGAGGGACAACGAAAGTGTTTACGATGGAAAACACAGGAGCCTGGGGCAAGGAAGAGCAAGGAGGACAGGCAGGCAGGGCGGGCGGAGGAGGGAGGGCAGGCACTCCTTCACTATTATATAGAAATATGATATATATGTATTATATATTATGTATGATTGCTTACGTTGATAAATGGCTGTGTGCCTGTAGTGGCCTCCCGAACTGGGTCCACCCACAGCTGGAGAACCCCCGAAACCATCCATCGGGCAGCCCGGCCGACCACGGGCACGCTGACCGAAATTTCGTGCGGCTGCCCGTCCACTAGCACGCCGACAAACGGCGTGATGTCGAGTGAATAAGTGGGGTTGCTGAAGCAGCCGATTCCGATGAGGGGGGCCCAGAGGAGAGGGGCGACGGCGGAGGGGTAGAGGGTTGGGAAGGGGAATACTGCCCCTGCGAATTGGTTGTCTATGAATAAAAGGAGCTCACGGAAGGGAGCGGATGATGAGGAGAACGAGGAGGAAGAGAAAGAGGAGGAGGACGACGACGATATTGAGGTTGAGGTTGAGTTGGGCGAAAGCATGAAGAAGAATTCGTCGCTGCCACGCCTGGTTACCATCAGCTCGAATTTCGCCGTTACGATGTCGCGAGGCAGCGCGGGAAACGTCACAGAAGCTTCCAGTGAGGAAGAAGAGGGAGAGGAGGTGGATATGGAATCTTCGCCCGTGATTGTAAAGGGGGAAGGGTAGGATATCCCCGGTGGTTGAATGGAGAAGGGGAGAACAACGTCTGGAACAATGGCTCGGTTGAATCGAGAGGTCTTGAAAAAGAGGAGATCAATGCTGACGTAGAAAACACCTGCACCAGGTACAGACAAAATCGGGTTCGGTGCAATGAGAATCTGGCCTCGACTCGCTATCAGCCCATGCTGAAACAAAGAATGATAGGGTTACGTGGGATGAATGTATTTCCGAGGTGCATGTCTTATGCGGTTACCTGTTAGCGTGTCGTTGACCACATTGGGGAGCGAGACAAATGCTTGCTTCTCCTGTCAATGGAATAAATGCGGAGGCAGAAGTGAATGAGGAGACAGTGAGTAAAAGGCTCGGAGGAAGACCGAAGAGAGTTTGAAACATATTGAAAGGAAAAAAGGAGCACAAGAATGACCTTTGCAAGCGCGGGTGCGAATGTAGTGACGTCTTCTTCAAATGAGTAGGATGCCGACACACCCAAAGGCTCCACAGTACTGCGTTAAAAGGGGGGAGGAGATAGGAAGAAGGTGGGTGGAGTCGTAACGCATGCCACACATAACCAGAAAAAAAGAAGGAAAAAACAAAACATATTCCATTCATAGGAAGAAAAAATATTGCATGGATATCAGGGGTACAGTGTTTGGGTGCACGAGCAGCTCACATGGACCTGGAGACCTCGAAGTTGCCGAGGAACACGGACAGCACGCGGTCGAATTGCACCCCGCTCACATTCACGCGCACGCTCAGCAGCACCAGGGACCACGCCTGGCGGAAACGCAGCCAATCAGAGAAGCACATGCAGGGAACACCGAAAGGAGCGGGGTCGACAGAAAGTTGCCGTCCCGAGGCAGGGGAAATCCGGAACGTGAAAACATACAATTGGAAAGATAATACTGGGTGTAGACTAAAAAAATATTCTGACGAGAGGGGAATACGCTACAACATGGAAAGTGATAAAAGCACGATTCACTAGCTTGTGACCACGGGGGAACTCGGCGGGCCCAGCGACTAGGTATAGAAGGCGGGGAACGGAAAGTGAGACACGGGGAAGGTGGGAGGTGGGGGTGGGGGGAAGAGGAGCGGGGGAAAGGGGGAAAAGGGGGGGTGGGGCGGAGGGGGGAGGGGGGGAATCGAGGGGAGAGGGCAGCAGGTTGGGTGGGGTGGGACGGGAGGGCGTGAAGTGGATGTTTTGGGGAAGGAGGAGGGGGGGAGGTGTAAGAGACTTTGAGTTTGAGGGTCGGGCAGGGGGGAGTTAGGGATGGGGAGATGGGAGGAAAAGAAGGGTGGAGGGTGGAGAGAAGAGAGTGAAAGCAGGGATTTCGGTAACATGGTGAGAGAACTGAAGTGGTAAGTTGGCTTTTGAGAATTCTTAAAGGACGTACGGAGCCGCACGAAGCAGGGATGGAGTAGTTTTTCGCGACGGGTGGGTCGCCGACGGTGTCGTCGAACGATTGGTTGCGAAGCAGAGTGACGACGCACGGCTTCACCCCGCGAGGCCTTGCGATTGGCCGAGCGACCTCGAAAAACTCCACGTCATCGTCACTGGTGTCGTCGTTGCCTCCGCTAACGCCGCTAGTACCAGAACCGCCCGAATCGCTAAACGACTGAATCTTCCCTTCACTTCCCGTTTCGCCTGTTTTCGCAGGCTGTGAGTTCGTTTCAGATTGTAGCTTCAGTGAAATCGGGTCATTTCCGTCGGCTGGTCGTGGGGGCTCTAAACTATCTGGACCTCGCTGAAGCGGGCGAAAGTTGGCGAGACCTTGCACGAGGGTTTGCGACGGTAACAACAGTGTATCATCGTCGTCGTCGTCATCGTCTCCGTCTTGCGAATCCGCTTTGTAACCACTATCTACAGTAGGGGTGTTCTTCGGGGGGTCGGGCTTCGCATGGACGGGAGGTCTCCACGGGAAAAGGCGGAATCCACGCGCAGGGTAGGGGAAAACAGCGAGGAGGAGTGAGAGTAGAGCGAGAATTACCAGCGTGCGACGCGCCATGCTTTCTCCACGACTCAAGGCGCCAAGTGTGCGGGACTAACCAATCTAGAAAACGACGACTTTGAGGGAAGGACGGGTCACGCTGGGTGGGTAGTCGAGATTAGAACGTATCCGTTCCCGCGGTCTAACCTCGCCTCTGCAATTGCTCCTGCTGATGCTTGTGCTGTTGCGGGAAAAACAAAGCCATCCTTCGAGGACGAACGGAGCGTTTTCCGTGGCTTTACGAGCGTTTACATGCGGATCACTTCGATAATATTTGCTAAGTCGTCGCGTTAGGTTCGTAAACCACCATTAGGTGAAGAGACATGACGGTCCTGTGTTCGCGGGCCCTGTAGGAACTCTGGGTAGGTGCGTTGCAAGCGGGGCCGATTGTCAGAACAGTTTAAGTCTTACAAGCCTCGGTGTACCGTTGATTCTAGGCAAGCACTCAACGGGAGAAAGGGTAACTTCCAGCACCAATGGCGGGATTCGTCGGCTGTTTTCTGTCAGAACCTGCACACCTCTAGTTTCGTTTGATAGGACATCTCCATTCTCCCAACCAACGCGATACGAGGGAGCTTGTCTGTTGCCCTTTTGTCATGGTCCTGGTTGGAGGACGAAAACGGGAGAAGCCGAGGCGAGGTGAAGCATATTTTCTGGCGGTAGGGACGGTCAGAATTTCGCATATTACACATTGAACCGACCAGGCCACCTACGAGCAGGCAGTACTTGAGGACGTGGGCCCAAACGGGTCTGATCGGCTGTGATCTGATCGGATCGGATTGCTTGTGATCCCACTGCTCGAGCCGCCCGATCAGCAATGTTTTTCGTCGAAGTATTAAAGCTGTTGCTCGGCAAGAGCATGAACATTACGCGGAAATTCTTATCCAGCTCACGCGAGATTGGCGACTGAACGTGACCTGGCGAATGAATTGTTTCCCTGTGATGTCGTCAACCCCTGAAGTGTTCTCGCCACGTGCCATGCATGAGCGAAGGGTTGACGAGGCTAAATTAACATTGTAACATTTCGTAGCCGTCGTTATGGCCCTCGATCACATGCAATCATCTGATCGAGGATGATTGAGCAAAATCGAGTTTGATCGGGGTAAAAATCGGATGCGATTGAGTTGGGGCGATCAGCTGATCGCGATCAGCTTATTGCCCCCGATTGCCCGAAATTGGCTTCCAGGCTTCCTCGAATTTGCTGATCGCTTCTGATCGAGGCAACAACCTCGTTTGGGCCCATACCCTGAAACTCGGCAGGCTAAAGATGGCGTTCCTAGGGATGTCTGCCCGGCATCCGCTAAGTTTTGGTAGTGTGTCTACCATTTTGCTTAGAAATAATATACACGAAGAAGGGTGGGTAGTTTGAGTCAAGCCACGAAGAATTTGTGAAGATGGTTGGTGGACCGCCGTTGTGCTGTGGTTTTTAGCGATAGGGCAAGGCAGGTTGTGCAGCCACTGTCAACAAAGAGGTACACCTGGTACAGCAGAGACACCACCACCGACCATCAACATGGACCTTCATCAGTTTTTTAGCGCGTACGCACCAGTAAGGACGTGGGCCCAATCGGGTCTGATCGGCTCTGATCAGGTCAGGTCGGATTGCTTGTGATCAATTTGCTCGATCAGCAATGTTTTTCGTCTAAGGTTTTTAGCTATTATGGCGTGTGCAAAGTGCGCAAAAACTCGACGTCGAGCAACGTCCGTGAATTTCCACCCTCGGATCAAAGGTTCCAACCATCAGGATTCACCGACGTTCCTCGACGTCGAGTTTGTGCAGCACTTAGTACACGCCATTAGGGCGTGTCTGAAGTGCAAACGTCGAGTTTCGTCAATTTTCGTCGACGAAACTCATCCGTGGGACCCACGCGTGTTGGTGTCTGAAGTGCAGCCTGACATCCCTCGATGAAACTCGACGTTCATACATATGTCGAGGGATGTCAAACAGTAATACCGGGCAACTATTCGAGTCAATGTAGTCAGTGAGTGTTTCAAAAACATTTCTTCGACACACCATGTCTGCATAGTGTCAGAATGAGAAGTGTGTGAACTATGAAAAGTTGGAGTACAAGTAGCAAACCCTAGTTTTGTGTACCCCCTAAAGGCTAACCCACTATAGCTTACACAACAACAACACATATAGTGTTTGACACACCCCCATAGGCAAAGTGGGGGAGAGCAAGGGGTCACAAGACCAGTTAGGAAAGGCAAGCAAGCTCAAGGTGGATCACAACGTCACCACACATTCCGAGCACAAGCAAGGGACCACATGGCCAGTTCACATGCAGAAGTATATATGTAGTACAAACAGCAAGGGTGATCTCAGCCTAGCAGAACAAACAGGCAGGAGTATGTATAGAGATCACAGTACAGGCAAAGCCTACAACAAGTGAGGAAAAGTGGGCACCAGCCCCAGCTAAGTACAGAAGCGCTGATGATCACCAGGCTGAAGTGCCTTGGTGAATATATCAGCGGTGTTGGCCTGAGAGGCCACGTAACGCAGACGGAGCTGACCACGCTGCTGCAGCTCTCGAGCAAGGAAGTAACAGAGAGCGATGTGCTTCGTTCTGTGCTCCAGTCTGTGCTCCTCACACAAGGCAATGGCAGCCTTGTTGTCGACGTACAGCACTGGAGGAGAACTAGGCCTCTCTCCAAGGTCGGTCAGCAGGTAGGTGAGCCAGCGTAACTCCTGTGCAGCCATGGTTGTGGCGTAGATCTCAGCCTCACAACTGGAGCTGAGAACTGAAGACGAACGCGTAGAGCGCCACGAAACTGAACCAGAACCAAGGCTGAAGGTGTAACCCTGTGACCACCGCTGAGTAGCCTGGTCGTCAACCCAAGAAGCGTCTGAGTGCCCAGTGAGAACAACTGAGCTCCCTCCTCCAAGCACGAGCCCCATGCCCGATGTACTGCACAACTAGTGCAATACCCTCTTTGCAGCATCCCAGTGCACCTTTCGGTGCCTGCCAGGAGCTACGTAGCGGGCCAAAAGGCCAAGAGGGTATGCTAGGTCAAGACGAGTGCAAGTCATCAGGTACATGAGGCAACCAACTAGCTCAGGGTAAGGACCACTCGACTCTACGGACTCATCCGAAGGCAGAGCTGAGAGCGAGTGACCTACAGCCAGAGGAGTGGCCTGTGCTGAGGACCAGGTGAAGTCGAAGCGCTGAAGGACCTGCTGCACCATGTGAGACTGAGTCAGGGTAATGGTGCGGCGTCCTCTGTCCCGGGTGATCTGCAAGCCAAGGTAGCTGCGCAGTTCACCCAGGTATGTGCACGTGTGTCTCTTCTGCAGCTCCGACTTCACATGGGCGAGAGACTCAGTGTCAGCAGTGGCAAAGACCAAGTCGTCGACGTACACGAGGATGTAGAACGGCGGCAGCGAAGTGTCGGTGCGCAGAAACAGCGACGGGTCAGCAGTAGAAGGAGAGAGCCCAAGTGCCGCAAGAGTAGTCCTCAGTGTGTCGTGCCACTCACGTGGCGTCTGGCGGAGACCGTGGACCGGCCGCCGGAGGCTCCACTGGGTACCAGGAGGAAACGACCCAGTGAAGCTAGGAGGGCAGCGCAGCCAGATCTCCTCGTGCAGACTGCCATGCAAGAAAGCTGTGCTGAAGTCAAGAGAGTGAAGCTTGTAGTCACGCTGAGCAGCAACGTGCAGTAGTACCCGAAGAGTGGTCATCTTCGGGGTGGGGGAGAAGGTCTGAAAGAAGTCTACTCCCTCTCGCTGACTGAAGCCTCGAGCAACGTAACGAGCCTTGAAGACAGGCGGAGAACCCGGCGGCCGCTTCACCCTGAAAATCCACATGCCACTGACGATGTTCGCCCCAGGTGGGGGAACCTCGTCGACGTAGGTGCCTGTGGACTTCCAGGAAGCCATCTCTGCATCCATGGCTGACTGCCAGTGTGAGGATTAGGGACCCTCGATCGCCTCAGCGTACGAACGAGGAGTCGGGATGTCTGGTGCATCCGGGTCTCCCTCAGGGGCAATCAGCATGGACACGAGATGGGGCGCAGCGGCTGCAAGACACTCAAGGTCCTCCTGTCTGTCCTCAAGGACGTCCGTGCTAAGAGCACACTCACCCCCGACGGACGGAGGACAGAAAGACTCAGACTCAGCAACAGGACTGGCAGCATAGTCTAGACGACAGCGAGCAGCAAAGTCGACAAGCTCAGCAACTAGGGCAGACGCAGCAGCCGACTCAAAAGAAGGGTCAGTGACAGTAGTGGCTAGGAGACACGTGACAGTAGGACTGGCAGCACGAACGGAGTCAGACTCCGGGTCAGCAAGGGTAGGAAGAGAGGACTGATGAGGAGACGGTAGAGGGACACGCTGTGGAGTAGTGGAGGGACGCAGTGACATCCGGTGTGTGCCAGGGACAGGTGGCGGATGCTCACGTGGTACACGATGACTAGCGCAAGCAGTACGAAAAGGTTACACAGGACGGGACACAGGTGACACAGGACGAGACTTAGGCTCACGACGCTCTGTATGCCCGCCTGTCGGACCAGTGTAGGGAGAAGGACCAGGAAGTGGCGAGGCAGGCGGTAGCTGTGACTACGACTGGACAAGCGGAGGACACTCTACGGAGGGAGGAGGACTAGGAGGAGGCGGCAGACGAAGAACCTGTTGAAGGAGTGGAACGAAGTATGGCCGCGGCCGTGAAGTGCCCCCAGCAGCAGCAGAGACAGCACCAGAACCTCCAGCAGCTCCAGCAAAACCTCCAGCAGCACCTCCAGCACCTCCAGCAGTACCTCCAGCAGCTCCAGTACCTCCAACAGCTCCAGCAGCACCTCCAGCACCTCCAGCAGTACCTCCAGGAGCTCCAGTACCTCCAGCAGCACCAGCAACACCTCCAGTAGCTCCAGGACCTCCAGCAGCTCCAACACCTCTAGTAGCACCAGCAGCACCAGCAGCACCAACAGGAGCTCCAGGACCTCCAGCAGCAGTAGGGTCTCCAGCGGGCTGCACCTCAACACCGGGAGCTCCACTCCGGAGGCTGCAGCGCCGAGCATACCACTCACGCAGCTGCTGTGAAGAAGGAGCGCCAGCAGGCGTAGTACGGTCAGTCTCAAAGCCCCTAGCGTCATCACCTCCAGGCGCAATACCCCCAATCGCAGTACCTCCAGGCTCAGCACCCGCAGTCTCCGCACCCCCAGTCTCCGCACGCTCAGTCTCAGCACCCCCAGGCTCAGCGCCCCCAGAAC